TCCTTTGTAGGAGCCATAGGGAAAAATGCTGGTATAAAGCCCTTCCTGTCAGAGATTTACCAATCTACAGGGAACTTGGAAAACCATAATGAAATCTTTGGCCTAGCCTTGCCCCAGGTGAAAGGCCTGCAACAGGTTAGGGCTCCTGGGTGTAGTCATCAGGGGTGGGTCTCTGGAGCAAAGCAGCAGACCAAGGTCCCCTTCTCTCAAGGCCCTCTTCTGCCTGTGCGTATGCTGGTGCCTCCCATGCCTCTTCCTTTGGAGGGGGTGGGGGTTGTGGGGTAGGGTGGAGGTGACATCTTTATGTTAGAATTTTGAATTATGAAATAATTTAGGCATACAGAAACGTACAGAAACAAATATAGTAGACACTTGTGTAATTACACCAAGATTATAGGTGTTAACATTTTACTACATTTGGTTCATATCTCCCTTTTTCTTTTTCTCTGCAAAGTCCCAGTGCACGGTTGTATATCCTAGTTGTAAGTCCTTCTAGTTCTTCTGTGTGAGCCGCTGCCACAGCATGGCGACTGACAGACAAGTGGTGTGGTTCTGCAACCGAGAGCTGAACCCTGGCCGCCGAAGCGGTGAGAGTGCCAAACTTGAACCACTAGACCATCAAGGCTGTGTCTCTCCTTTTTTAAAGGGAAAAATGCAAGGCTGAAGCTCTACCCCGTCTTTTCCCGTCTCCCTTCCCCAGAGAGTGTTGTATATTTCCCTTTCAATGAATGTTTTTGTACTTTTACTATATTAAGTATTTTCATAAACAATATATACTACTATTTTTTGTATTAAAAATTTATAGAAATGGTATCACACTCCATTAACCTTTTGTTGCTTTCTTTTTAAATTCAGCATTTTATTTTTTAGATTTGAACGATTTTGATATCTTACTACTTCCTTTTTTTTTTTTTAACTACTGTATAGAATTCCACTGTTGACTATAGCAAAATCTGTTTTTTCCATTTGCCTACTGTGTTAGGGTTAGACTGTGTCCTCTTTCATGGGTATATATTTACAAGGAGAATTGCTAGATCGTAGAGTCAATGCACTTTTCAACTTAGTGGGGAAACTGCTTTCTAAAACTTCTTTAGAAAGAAAAAGGGGGAGAAGATAAACCTTGATCATTTCTTCAATTGTGAAGTATGAGCATAGAGTTTAGGGTAAGGTAAAATGAAAAATGGGGCCTGGAATTCTGCACATATAACACGATACAGAGATGTGAAAGTTAATTCTCATGTCCTTTATCAAAGTAGTTTCCTAAAATAAATACTTAAAAGTAAATGAATCATTTTTAGTTATACTTTCCCTCTCCAATAATGTTTGAAAGTGTTCATACGGCTTTGAAAATTGGAATAAATTTTTTGTTGTTGTGTGTGCTCACACTGCATTTTAAGATCCTCTTTTAGAAATGAGTGAAATAAATTCTTGTTTTTCTTATTTTTAAATAACAAACAGAAAAGCTCTTATCCCAGGCGTTTTCTGGAGATTTCCATTTAGTTGAGTGATTCTTTTTATTCAAACCGTGATAAAGGTCCAGGGCATTTGCTGGGCCATAATGACTTAGAAGGTTCACAGTTAGTAGCCAGGGCCCTGTGCTGCTGTTCAGTGTTTTCGGCTACTGGATGAAGCTAAACAGATTTCAATTTTATAATGTGTTTCTTCATTCGTTTAAAATTTTATATAATTTTTTATAAGTTGATTAGGAATCCATTGAACAACATTCATTCATTCAACAAATATTTGTTGACTGGTCGGCCTTCTTCCGGGAGTGTGGGAGCTTATATTCTAGCGATGAGGACATTCAGTAAACACATGAAGGCATAATCAAGGGGTTCACTAACTAACTAAATCGGATTATCTCCTCTGTGGAACTGGCGTGAGAACGATGGCGGTGGGGCTGGGCTTAGGCTGGTTAGGGAAGAGACAGCATCTGAGCTGGAAGTGCTTTGTGTCCTCACCTCTGAGTGGTGCCTGGTGCTCAGCACCTTGGTTAAATTTCACTGGCATCCAGCAGTCTGCTAATCTCATTTACCCTGAATACGCTTGAGAACTGAGAGGTAAACAAAGAGACTCTGAGTAGTCAAAATGGATTTCACAAAACTCAAGGCAATAAATAAAAGCTCATGAGCTTGCCTCATGGCCTAGTCCCCTGGGCCTTCACAATTTTACCCATGTAGTGGGTGTCTCGGTCCTCAGCAGAGTCCGCTGAGGATGGAGGTCAGAGGGCCGAGCAGTGGCTGAGTGCCTTGATGGCGTGTGAGAAGACGCAGAGCGAGACGAGGGTTACACTCTGGGTCTGTGCAGACGGCTTCAGCAGTGGGCTCTGGGGCGGTCAGTGTACTATGGCTCAGCCTGTCGATTTATGCTCCATCGTAATGATTGTTTGGGTTTGGTTTAAGATGTCAGGAAAACATATAGTAGATCTTTGAAAGCCCTGCATCTAAATTGATTAAGTCAAAAACAAGATTGAACCTCCATGAATTAGACTTTAGGACCAGACAACTGAGGTATTATATTTAGACATTGATTTTTAAAATAACATTTAGGAACTATTTTAGAGAAAGCACTACAACTTGTAGTTTAATAAGTAATAATAGCATCTGTGTAGAATTCCAGGTTGGATTAGTATATTGCTGCTTATAATGTTGTATGTTTTGATAGATCTTACAGATGGAGATGAAAGACAAATGTTGTTATGTGATTGACCATCTTCCCACAACTGAGGGACAGTCGGACTTGGATTTAGATTCCATACATTTCTAACCCAGAGCGTCTTGAGCTAAACTACAGTTGAGTAATCCCTGCTCTGTCGTCGCTCCCGTGTGACCAGAGGCAGCTGATGGGCACTAGGCCCCAGGTCTAACTCACAGCCCGGTTGTACTGTGTTGTAAGTGACCTCATCCCAGGCTCTCAGAGGGTGAGGTGCCGGTTAGGTTAGTACCCAGTGAATCAGACCATGCATCTGAAAGGATAGCAAATAGGTTTTTAATTGTGGAAGACAGTCATAAAATCTCCCAAGCAGATGTTTTTGATGGCTTCCCCTCTGAAGTTTGCCGTGTTCTGTAGTCATTGCTGTGGTTCCATTGAAGATTTGCTCACGCTCCCTCCCACCCGACCTGCCTCCCCTGCACCCCGACTTGTCGCCAAACTTTTCAGAGCTGGAATAATAGATAGCAACAGTTCTAATGAGTTCATGGCTGCTCTCGTGTTAGTAGACTCCTGCAGTATGTCCTGTTGTTGTCTTGCTGAGAAAATAGAGCCCCCCTCTGCAAACAACACTTCCATGTTGTGTGTACGGGTTTCTGTAAACCAGAAAGTCAACATATTAAAGTGCAATTCATAGGGGAGTTGCTGGCTGTGTTCACTGAGCTTCGCAGTCGTTTTAGCACTGGCAAAAGTGTTACCCTAACTGCTTCAAATCCAACTGCAAAGATGCTTGTGTGAAATCTAGTATTAGATATCAAATCCAACATATGGGTGTTGAACGGAAGGATATGTGTTGTGGTAGTATATGGTATTCTAGCATGTGGAGCTGTATTTTATGGAAATTCTTTGGCTTGGCTTATGGCGGAGACATACATTCATTATGAGATATCAAGCTGTAAAATACATAAAAGCTAAGAATTCAACTGTGCTGTTAAATGATTTCAATACAGACTTGTCTGCTCTATTAACTTAGGGTTTGTGTGATGAGAGGCATTTACGAGCCATTCTGGCCAAATGTTTTGTGATCATTGCTGACAAATCTTAAAAATAATCTAGATCAGGTCAAAAGGAATGTGAACTTTAGCTTTTTGCATCTTTTCCTTTTACTTCATTGTATGTGTTATGAATTACTGTGCTAACTGGTCTTAGAGACAAATTGTTTAAAATGTTCCTCCTTTTACCATTCCTTCTTTTTCCTCGTTCAATATTCTATAGTGAATTAGTTTTTTAAGTGGGTATCTGGAGCTGATCACTGAATTCTTAAGTGTGTGGGCTTAAGGGGCTCAAGTTCTTGGAGTTCTCAAATGGACCATATTGTGGTATTAACAGAGTGACTTCACCATTCTCGTCTCTGGAGTGCTTTTTGCCATCCTGATATCTTGCTTTTCTTTTCCTCTCCTGCTCTGTCTCCCAATTAGAAGAAGAAGTCAATAGATTTCTCGTTTGAAAAAAACATTAAAAAAAAATCATCAATGGTGTATTTATTACACGAGGAAGGACTTTCCTTTGAGCAATGATTTCAAGGACTTTCAGGCTCATGTAAATTAGAGATGGAGAAGACTCATTTGGGGCCATTTTTGTCTGTATTTCTGGAATTTGCAGTGCAGTACACTTTGGTTTACATCGTTACCTGTTTTATCAACTAGGAAAGTACTATCCTTGTATTAGAGATGAATATCTTTCCTTCAGGAACTCACTGATGGTTATGTTTTTGATACACCTAGGATTGCTTTCTAAAGGGATTTATTTGTTTGTAGAACAATGTAGTTTCTTTTTAGCAAAAATAGTAAATGGAATTGCTAATGTAACTGGTACGGTATCTGCTACAAATGTAATTGGGATGTTCTGACCTTAGGTGAAACAAACATGCACCCAAACCACAAACATCCTACAAAATACCAGGAAGTGGACTTGGACTGGTGGAGTTCATTTTCATTTTGAGTGTTGCATGTGAATGGATGAACTTAATGCTTCTTTGACTTTCTTAGCAGAGACGATTTTTTAATGTCAGTATGAGGAGCTTTTTTCGCCCCCGCTGGATTTTTATGATGTTATCAATATTTGATAGCTGATAAAATATTATTTTTTAAAGCAAAGTCAAATTGTCTTTTGACTTCATTGACAATATGTGAATAGAAGGCAGTATGCCGATTTATCTAATGGAGAGAATATTAAAAATATTGAATTGCTTAGCAAAGAACCCACTTCATGTTGCTGACTTGAAACCATCTTTGATTTCATTGAATTGCACATTTTGACTTTCTCGCTTGCTTTGCTTGATTCCTTGACAGATGCCACCTCAGTATGGACAGCAAGGTGTGAGTGGTTACTGCCAGCAGGGCCAGCAGCCTTATTACAACCAGCAGCCGCAGCCTCCGCACCTCCCTCCGCAGGCGCAGTACCTGCCATCCCAGTCCCAGCAGAGGTACCAGCCGCAGCAGGTGAGCACAGCTCCTGGTCCCCAGGCCTCTGTTCTGTCCCCGCGGTCTGGGTTCAAAGGCCAGACTGGGATCTGAGACGTCTTCCTGTCCCATTTAAAAAATTCTGTTCTCAGTGGGAAAAAATGTAGTTTTGAGAAAATGCAAAACCATAACCTTAATCTAGACTGTTGGTTTGTTTCTGGATGGATGTTTGGGATTGAAGGGTGGGAAGAATGACTAGTTTAATAGCTTTTTACATGACTGGTTAGTGACAGCAGAAAATGCCAGTCATTTCATGTTCTTTGTCATTTGTGTTCTGAATCTCTCAAGGAAGTGCTCTGCCACTTTGTTGAGGCTTACTCAGGAAAATGGTTTTATCGAAGATTTAATTTTGCTAGTTGGCACATACGTGGTATTTTCATCTTGAGCTTTTCGGGGTTTGTTTTTGTTTTAATGGTAAGTGCTACTATATCTAAACATCGTTGCCTTTGGCAGTGTAATTTTTCTTAAACTGGCTTATAAACAGATAATCACTTCAATTACAATATATTAAAATACTAAAGGGAATCATGTACTTGAAGTATATTAAGCAGTTTCTAGTTTAAATTAGCCTCGTTAAATACTCGTTTAGGTTATTGGGCTATATATTTCAGCTTACATGATTTGCAGAAAAATAGTACCTATGCATTTGGTAAAATGATGGTTTCATCTTGTTTTAGAGACTATTGTTGAGTGATATTAAAAGACATCATGAGCTAGGGACTCGTACTCTGAATCCAAATAAAACTTCCATAGCGCTTCCAATTAGAAGCATCAAAATGTAACTTTCCATTTTATATTGTCGTCTCTTCTTTCTCTCTTGGGGGGTGGGGGTGGTGAAGAGAGGGGAAGATAATGACATGGACTCTTAAGTTTTTTAAAATGCTTCTTACACATCTTGAAGAGATTGTTGATGCTAAGCAAAATAGATAAATATATGAAGCTTAATTTTAATCAGTTGATCTGATTTCTTAGGTATTTTCTTGAGTTCATTGGAGTCTTTTCCCATGTGGCTTTTGTTGAAGAGTTCTAAAGAGATTTTATGACTTTACTCAAAACATTTTGAAATAGCAGCTGAGATTGAAGATCCTATAGAATCTTCTTTTTTGCATATGTCTTTTCAAAATTTTGGTATTTTATAAAGGGATTTATAGAGGTAGGAATGTCCATTATTTCAGAGTTATTTGGTCTGGTCTTTTATTAAAATGTGGGAAAATTAAATAACCTTTCAATCTCATTGCTTTTTACGTGAGAGAGACCAGTATCTGGGTTTATGATATATAAAGTTATAGGCTTTTTCAAGGGCTTTCAGAGTCTTATTGAACTTCTCTGTAGACATATAATGTTTTCTCGTGTCATCAAAATTTAAGAAGGACTCAGTAGAGAGATTATTCATTTTACTTTAGTGTACTAAGATGAATCTCTGATTGTAAAACTGGTTTGATTAAGGATTCTGAGTGCCTGTCATTTCCTTCAAGATCAAGCTCAAAATTTACTTCCTTTATGAAGCATTCACAATGACTTCTACCACATGGCAATTAGTTACTTAATATCCTTCCCATTTAAATATTTAAAGCATACTACAGGTAGAGCCTTATTTTAATGAATACTATTTTAATGTGCTTAGTTTAGCTCTATTTTATGCTTTGATTAATACTATCATTATTTTATTGACTTGAATACAATAAATTATATGGCAGGAAATACTATATAACCATGGCTCTTTAACATAAATATTGTTTTTTTTTGTATTCCAGGGTAAGCTAAACATTCCTCAGAGTATGTGGGAATTTTTTTATTGTTTTCATGCTCTCTAACTGTAAAATGTCTAAGTATTTTTTAAGTTTCATTAAACTCATGATGGGACAAAGAGGTGAAAGTTGGAGACATTTAGGTAGCGTAGTCAGACGGTCTGGTTTGATAGGATCAGTTCTGGTTTTTTGGGAGTTAGATGTTCAGATAGATTCGGAAGACTTCTCTAGGAAATGAGATGTAGCATTTTAGACATAGTTAGCATCTCCAAAAACAGAATAATCCCACCAAATCGATCTTAAAATAAAGTAAAAATGGGGCCGGCCCAGTGGTGTAGTGGTTAAGTTTGCACGCTCTGCTTTGGTGGCCCCAGCTTCTCAGGTTTGGATCCTGGGCACAGACCTTCACACCACTCATCAAGCTGTGCTGTGGTGGCGACCCACATACAAAAAGAAGGAGGAAGATGGGCTCAGATGTTAGCTCAGGGACAATCTTCCTCAAGCGAAAAGAGGAAGATTGGCAACAGATGTTAGCTCAGGGCCAATCTTCCTCACCAAAAACAAACAAACAAAAAAAACAAAGTAAAAATAACCAATAGAATATTTTCAAAATCAAGCCAAATTTTAATATGAATTTGTAATACTGAATTCACATACACTTAGAAACAAAAGAAGCTCAACTATATTTAATGGAATAAGCCACTGTTTCATAACAAACAAGACGTTCATTTCTGCAGACTTTTCTTTTGTTTCCAAACATAGCATACATAGTCTGTTGATTTTTATTTTAGGGAGTCAATCCTCAAATAATACTTTCTGTCTTTTGTTAATGTGATTGATACAAAAGGTAATTTTAAGGTTCCAGTAAGATACCTCACTTTGTGTCTTTAACATTTTTTATAGTGTAATGTTTTGAATAATCAATACCTTTATATGTTTCAAAAATTAAAAAGTATAAGGAAAGGCTACAGAGAAAATTATCCCACCACAGTTTCTCCTGCCTAATTCACCACCCGCCTCACCCTTTGACAGATAACCACCTGATTAGTTTATTGTATGTCTTTCTGGTTTCTTTATACAAAGAAGCAAAATACCGTATTTTAATTTTTACACAAATGGTGGCATACCGTAACCTACTGTACATACTCTTCTGTTCTTTATTGCCCCTCTCTCCCACCCATTTCAATATATTTTCTGTAGATCTTTCCAAAGGTGTACATAAAGCAATCTTTCATTCTTTTTTTATAGCTTTATTCTATTTTATGGACATACCATAATATATTTAACTAGTTCTCTTTTGATGAGCATTTACATTATTTTTAGTTAGCAGTTCAAACAATACTGCTGTGATAAACTTTGTGTATGTGTCATTTCATAAATGTGCAAGTGTATGAATAGGATAAATTCCTGGAAGTGATGTGCTGTGTCAACGGGTATTTGCAGTTATAATTTTGGTGACTATTGCTAGATTGTTCCTCTTAGAGGTTGTACCAATTTGTACTCCCACCATTGATGTGGGAGAGTACGTTTCCCTACACATGTGCCAGTAGCATGGTTTCACAAAGCTTCTGGAGTTTTGCCAACCTGATAATATAGTTCTAATTTGCATTTATCTTGTTAAGAATGATGTTGAGTCTCTCATATATTTAAAAGCATTTGAGTTGCCTTTTTCTTCTGGACTTAAATTCATATCTTTTTATCTTGAATTTTTCTATTCAGTTGGTGGTCTTCTAAAAGTTCATTTATAGAAACTCGGTATATATTAGAGAGACTGGACCTTTGTCTGTGATATAACTTTCTAACCACCCTCCCTCATCTTGTCGTCTGTCTTTTGACATTAATTATAGCACCTTTTTTTTGTCGTGCAAAGGGGCTTTTTAAATTTTTGTATAGTCAAAATTATCAATCTTTTATGATCTCTGGGTTTTATTTTTAGTGGAGGTACAAGCCTTGCTTATTCCGAAGTTACAAAGGAACTCTCCCATGTGATTTTCTAGTATTTTTATAGATTCATTTTTACATTTTAGTTATCCCAATCTATGAAGTGAGGTATGATACAACTTATTTTTTTTTTCTAGGTGGCTACTTGGTTAAGTACCTTATCTTGTGTAGGTTATTGTATTGGGGCTCTCTAGAGAAACAGAATGTGTATATGTGTACATATACACATCCTACTGGTTAGGATAAAGAGATTTATTATAAGGAATTGGCTCACACAGTTATGGAGGCTGGCAAGTCCAAAATCCACAGTTTGGGCCAGCAGGCTGGAGACCTGGGACAGCCGATGTTCCAGTTCTAGTCCAAAGGCTGGTAGGCTGGAGACTCAAGAAGGCTGATGGTGAAGATGAAGTCTGAAGGCAGTCTGCTGGAAAATTCCCTCTTGCTTGGGGAGTCCGATCTTTTTGTTCTATTCAGGCCTTCAACTGATTGGATGAGGCCCACTCACATTGTGGAGGGCAGTCTACTTTATTCAAAGTCACTGATTTAAATGTTAATTTCATCTGGAAACACTCTTCAAGTTGTCCTGTAAAGTTAACCATTACATTTATCTTTCCCCAACTGATTGGAGATGCTATTCTTTTATTATTTGCTGAATTCTGTTAGATACAGTATTCGGGATTATTCTGGGATTTTCATTCCTTTCCATTGGTCCTTCTATTAATGCACCAGTACTGTACTGTTTTTATTATTTTTTAGTATCTGGTAGGGTTAGTATATCTTCATTCTTCTTTGTTGGAGTTTTCTTAGCTATTTGTGTTCGCTTAATTTTTTCTTATAAACTTTTCATTTCTTGCCATGCTTTTTAAAAGAATTTTGTCTTTTTTGTTGTTATAATGGGGTCTTTTTTTTTGTTATATATTTTTCATTTTCAGTGAAACAGATGATACTTATAAAAGAATAACAGTAAAACAAAAAGAAGTACCTCCTTTGAACAATTTTTGCCTTGTCGTAGCCCACTGACCACAGACCAGGAACACTCTTGTCCTAAAACAAGTTGGGTTTATTTAGGTTGGGTTGCTGCAGGCCAGGAAGAACTTAGTCCTGAGGAGCCTCAGGAGCATCATGAAAAGACGTGGGAGTTAAGGGAGTTTATACGGTGGTGTGTGTGCTGGCTGATTCTAAGAGGGATTAGAGAAGTGGGGCGTCAGTCCTGGATTGGCTGCTCTCAGAAAGCTGGGGGTATTTGGTGATTAGCTGTCTCAATTTTTTTCCCTGAGGCAGGAGGATTGA